GGGAATGCTGAAAGAGATCCTACAGGATACCGAACATGAACATAAAGATAATCGCAATCTTCTGCAGGGTTGGGAGCTGAAGCTTCTGGATCTGGACGATGGGCAGTATCAAGATGCCGACGTCGATTATAACGTGCGCAAGCACAGTACCAAAGAAGAAATCACTGCTCTTGATGGCACAGGTAAAGTGTTCCACCGTTGGATCCCAGAATGCTCGCACGGGGTAACAGTGGAATGTCGTCAGGAATGTCTGGGACAATGTGAGCTTAGGTCTTGTGGTCGGTCGAGGTTGCTTACGCGAACGAGAATCCAGAGAATAGAGCAGACCAACAGGACCGAGACGAAGATCTGGATGTTTGCGACGCGGAACATACGCCAGTAGAAGGAGAGGATGGAGATCTTTGCGAAGAAGAGGGTGAAGGCGTAGAAGTGTTCCATTATAAATAGATATTTCTTGGTTGTGTAATTGGCTTCCGTAAAGGTCATGCCCTCGACGTCCTTCGCGTGCAACCCGAAGCCATGGTGAATCCCTTATGAGAAGTCAGCGATTGTCGATGTTGATGTCGATGTCGGGGAGGGGTCGTACAGATAGGCAACACTATGCCCCAGCAAACAGCGGTGACCTTGATGCTGTTAGCAATAGTCCCAAGTAGTCGCGTGCCCATCAACATACATAACTTGCACAGGCAAAGTAATCATCCCACCAGAATCGGATCCTCGTGATTCTTCGGCTGACAATGCGCAGAATGAGAAAGATAGTCGCAGCTGCAAAGGTAATGTACTCGGCCGCCCAGAGATCAGGCTGCCTCGACCGCATTCTGGTATGTTTCGTGCAGCGTCAAGAAGTAAAAAAAGACAATTGAAGCCCCCTCGATTAGCGAAAAGCAAGCTGGATGTGGAACTCCCGGGATGATATACGTCTGCCGACCATGTCAATGAACACGGTCGATCATTTCATGCGGCTAAGAGCCTTGTAAGGATGCCGTGCGAGACCAAGCCTCGATCCAGGGGTAGAATGCTCCGACAGAGGGTGACGTTAAGCCATTACTGGAAGGTCTAGGCTGCGTTATGCGTGGAAATTGAGAAGCAAAGACCATCTGGGAGGAGGCTAATGGATAAAGAATTGTTGAGCCGTTTACTAAACTTGGCGACCGGAGCATGTGCAAGCACGTAAAGAGGTAAGCAGCCACAATTGACCACGGACCGTTTAGCATTTTGAAGACGGGCGGGGTTACATCGTTACGGCGAAGGGCAAGGCAAAGTGTGCCAAGAAGAGAAGCACTTGTTTCATCTTGGACATTCGTAAGGAAGTCAGACCGGAAATGCCGAGATATTCTTGGTCATTGAATGCCGACTAACCCAAATGTTACTACAGGTTTTGCAGGTCGGTTCTACAGTAGCAGTCAAAGCGTGACACTAGGATCCAAGCCCCAGGTTCCAGAACAAGGGTTCTCCATGATCTCCCAGCTTATTCATCAGGATTGGAGACATCTTATTTGATATGGCTCTTAGTAGTGCAACACCCCAGTGAAGCGGCTGATGCGATCCGGCGTTTAGCTTCAAACTCTATTGTCCAACTCGAGTTTGAGCCTTTGGGACCGTTTTCCCATCGTTTCTTCGCCTGGATTGTTTCAAATTTCCACCGTTCACTTAGTGTCGATCTTGCCATTGTCGCGTGATTTGGTCTGTGGTTACTGGTTCATTGTTCCGGGTGTTGAGATGTCACCCTTGCCCTGCTCGTGCTGAAGGTTCGCTAGCTTTTGGGCAGCTTACAGGGGCCGGCTTTTTCAGGGCGAGCGCGCTTGGGGTAATATCGCAGTCACACAGTCCAATCCGATGACCTGAACGCCTTGGAAAAAGTCTGAAGTGCACTGACGTGGAAGGGAACGCGTGTCGGCCATTAAACAGAGTTTGAACTTTCGGTACTTAGCAGAAGAGTCGGTAGCTTGTAGCGTCTTGACAGGAGTCAATGTTCCAGCACCTGACATGTCGTTGGCTTGGATATTACTGTTATCACATTTTCGCTCTCGCCTATAGAGCAAATGCAGGTTATCGATCCCCAAAAGCAATATTCAGGCATCAAGCCAGAATAGTTTAGGTTCCGAGTACAAATGCCCATCTCTGCCCAGGAGCAACGTTGGCTGACGTCAAGGATCAGGCTGGGGCCTGTCGATCATTTCCAGGGCCCATGCTCGGCATCAACACGCGGAGGCGCCGTTCTGTTGCCAATTTATTAACACGGGACGATCAAGAATACATACGTTGCAGTACGTGCTCCCGGCAACGGACGTTGAGCCATTCGGTCCTTTAGCTCCATCGTACAAAAACCCAATCGGAATAAATCGAGCCCAACTATTGACACTATTGATCCTCTAGCCAAGTCCAATTTGATATCGTATTAGGACAAATTCGTTATCTTGAAAAAATAAATACCGCGTATAGCAAACGTAAACCTCGTACCTCGTGACGCGGAGAAGTGCTACCCTACCTCCCTGGCTTCCCCAGTTTCGCACCCGAGGTTCGGCATATGAGTTTGTCAGATATGACAGGGAATCGTTGAAGATGTTTCGTGTGGAGATTGGGAAATGTTTTATGACAAATGAGAATCAGATAAGGCAATGACCTGCATCTTTCAGCTGAGCCTGTTTAGGCCTGTTCAGAAATCATATCGCATTTATTACTGGGTGATGGAATTCTCATCCAACAAGATTTACCAGGTTCGCAGTTTAGTAACAGCGAAAGGTTCAGTGGTCAGCGATGGTCGATTTTCTAGCCTATAAGCTAACACGACCACGATAAAAGCTAATCGTAGTCGTAATTTGCTTGCGATGAGGGTTCATTCTCGTCGATCTTGCTTAGTCAAAGATTACAAAAACATTGTTTGTGCGTGGGCAAAAGGGGCAGGGCACATTATCCCCCTCCTCATGGTTACATCAACAAAAACCCTGAATGTGCCAACTACAACATGTTCATCGGGTGCCAAGTAACATTTGACTACCGCGGTATCCTTTAAACTTTGGCATGACTCCACAAAGAAGCAGATCCCTGATTCATGACGGGTATAACGGTGAGGCTCAACCCGCGCTTCTCGACCTTTTCGGTTACAACTGGGATACATCGTCAAGAGTTATCTCCTGAGCAAGGAAGATAATTCGAATGATGATGATGATGATCATTGCCGTTGTTGAACCGTTCAACAATCCATGTTAGGATCACGGATCCATGTGCAGCTGACCTACCTGAGGCTGACGAAGGTTACGTATGGTATCAAAGCTCCAAGTTCAAACCACCTGCTGGATATCGTTAGCATCATCAAGACTTTTGTTGAGAATCACCCGTGCTCTTGTCCAACGACTACGTAACTGAGAAGGTTATCGCGGTAAAGATGCATGTCTCAGTTCGTCAACGAGAATGCAGATTAAAGTCCCTGGGAGACCATTCCGAGGAGTTCACGGAGTGCACTCACGAGCAGCTGATATCAGCCTTTGATACGGCAATTGGTTTACATACCAATAGCAACAAATAAAGTCCGAAACCGTTGGGTTGGACGGTGCCATGCAACAATCACATGCAAAGTTCGGCATGTAAGCCTGCATGATGTTCCTACCATCAGTTTTATCAATAGGGCGAGGTGTTAGGAGGCCGTTTCAGTACTTACAGTTCCTCCTTTAGTAACGTATTCTGAAGTCCTTATCGAAAACATTCAAGGATGGCGCAAGCCATACAGAAAGACGCAAGGCTGCCAATACAAGTATCAAAAATTAAAGCCGTCCTTGTACTTTCTTAAACCATGAAAGCTGATCGTGACACGAGGTTACCTGAATATTACAGCTCGTGTTGCCTAAGTATCTGCTAGCGATGCCGGCTCCTTTCTTACAATGATACACAAGTCTGCAACACATACGGGACTAAAGGCGTTTGATTCTCTAGGGTATCGTCATGGACGGAGTTCTGCAACGACTTAGTACGACTTTATCTTCAAGATTTTGAACCTCATCCAGGTATCGACTTCACTACGATCTATGCCTACTGTATCAGTTTGCAGGCCCTTGTTGCAAGGCTTTATGTTGAGACACTTCCACGCGAGGCTATGAGGTAGCGAGAGAGCATTGAAGTAGTTTGATAGCCATAAATTCACGCTGTTCAGTGCTTCCTGATGTGTATTGGTGAGTACTCATGCTGGCTGAGAGCTGAAGCCCTTAGTCGTGCCATCATAATCTTACCCATATTCTCCCCAAAAGCTCATGCATTTTCAAAATGATTCAAGTGCCACAGCTCGAGGCATTAGTCTCAACAGCTGAAACGGAACTCACTCGCTTCTGATAAATCGAGAACGATTGCGGCTTGCGTGGAACTGCATGGCGTGTGTGCTAGTGATTTGGGGATGCTAGCGCGGAACATGTGTCCCACGTCTGGATTAGTGAATTTCGGAGATCAGAAATACTACTTCTCGCATGCAGTTTTGGTGCGATCCAAGGTACCGTTTATCGTGGGCCCTTTGTCAAGACCGCTTCCTCAGCTTCCATCCTTGCGCTACTGGAAGTCTGATACCCAATTATATTGTATATTCACTGGCGAAGTCCAAAACTGGCGTTTTTTGGAGGCACAGAGACTTGAGGCTTGCCGCTATATCTGAGGCTCGCAAGACTACTGTCAATAGATCGTCACGCTGGCAATAGTCGAACCCAAAGAGTGTAAACAGGATATCGGAAAGCCAATTGAGGGGTTCAGCTGCCCCTCATCAGATCAGTGAACACCACAGCTGGAGCATTTAGATTGGTATACTGAGGCAGATCAACTGGTTCTGGACTGGCTTATGCCTGATACACTGGTCTGGACCGCGAGGCCTCTTTTGAACTTCCAGATATAAACCCTAGACATGGGGAGGCATCCCATCAATTCTCGTTTCTCCCTTGATACTCTGAGGTACAGGATCTTGGACCACCCAAGTCTAAAAGCCACAAAATCTTTGAGATAGTTGTCTCCTCTTTACTCCAACCATGCCTGCTCCTCCTCGCCCCAGCCGTGGTGTACCCCCCACCTTTTCCAAGCAGGACGACGATCTCTGGAAGGCTTATGCCAAAGCACTCCAGACAAAGTTCTTCGGCAATCTTGACACAAAAATTGAGATTTTCTATGCTGCTCCCATCGGGGTGATGGGAATACCTGCTGGTGACAATATTCCCTCAGGAAATCACCAACAAAGGGGTTTACGACATTGGCGATGTTGTCATGCAGTTGGACGCTCCTGTATTCAATGCTGTGAGCAGTAAATACTCCCAGCGTCTTCAAAGGTAAGGCGCTCTTCCCTATATTGAAGCATCAGCCATGGCTAAATTACACAATAGAGCTCTAGGTTCAGTAAGGCTCAATATGAATCCAGACAAGGGTGCTCAGTTGCGACTGCAGAGTATCCGATCAAAGATCGACAAAATCAATGAGCAGTATGCCCAGGTGACGAAGAAAGCAATGGAGGCTTACGAGGCCGATGAGGATAAAGGGAGTCAGACTTTCACATACTGGGTCCAAAGAAGCGTAAGATCTTGAATCATTGCTAATAGCATGAAACCCCGATTGTCTTGGGAGAGTTACTGATCGGCTACTATCCTTACAGTACCCCAGTTTTGACTCTTTGGCTGCAGAGAGGCAGTCCGCCATTGCCACTGAAGCAGCTCTACGTTCTCAGATAGATGGCCCTGGCGGTGTGCAGCTCAACGACCAGAGACAGAAGCTGCTCAATGCTTTGGACTTGGAGAGCGACTATCCTGGCCTAAATATGCCGTGCACCCCAAGCTTTGGCAATATTGTTAATGGTTCTTCCGACCTTCCTCGAGAAATTGGTAAATCGTTGAGACCTGCCTATACAATCGACAGCTCCTACAAAGAAACGATCGGAAATTGGATCAGAGGTTCCAACGGCGAGACCAAGCTGAGTTTGGCCTTCGATATCAATGATGCCAAGTCAGATAATTGGACCAGTTTGGCTTCGTCAATGTGAATGCCAATACAGGCCGAACTTATAACCCTCTCTGCAAGATAAGTTACGTTCAGGACGGTAACTACAAGGAGGAGTCCATCATGGCTCAGGATGTCGGATCTGAGCTCTCGGCGCAGCTTTCGGCCGCACAAGCGGGCGTGTTCACTGTCAAGCCAGGCGAATGGGATGTGCCTAACATTACGGAGGTGTACCCAAATTTCCAGCGGGAAGTCGCTCGCGAGATTGGTCCTGTTGCCAAAGTTGACCAAATCATTCTGGCTTACAAAGTGGTCATGAAGCTCTCCTTGCCGGCCAATTTGACAGAGCGCGTTAACAATCTAACTCAAAAGGCCAAGAGTGCCGGTGGATCAGTTAGTTTCTTTGGATTTGAGGTTGGGTTTGGAGGAGGAAGCAAGGACGAGATCAGCATCTCCGGTTCATCCATCGAAATCCGCAAGGACCTTGGATATCCTGTACTATTGGGTGTGAAGGGCAAGAAGCTCCCAGGTCTTGCTCGCTAAGTTAGCAAGTGGATGTTTAAGCACTAAGAGGACTCTGTCGAAGTGAAACACTATGTGGGTGGAGGATGGTTGCGCATTGTAGATATGTGCAACACTGAATAGGGAATAATCTCAAAGACCGATTCGATAACAGATTATCCCACCTTTGAACACCTTGGGGGATAAGTTTCTTAGTGCTTTCGCCAGTAACGTGATTTGCTGACTCAGGATCACACATCCGCGTATGAGTCAAACAAGATGTCAAACAAAGATCAATTTTGGGCTTGTCATCATTAAAATCCCGAAACCAAAATTCCCGTCCCGCACAATAACATGGAAGAAAAGGATCTTCTTCAACAGCTCAAGGACACACCTTTTCCCTGCTCATCTCTGACACGTTTGAGGGGGGGCAGCGCCAACTATGTCTATCGGGGCGCTCTAATCGATGCTATGCCCATCAGAGATGAGTCTTGTGACGTGAAAAGTGTCATCATAAAGTTCTCGCTTGGTCATATACCAGGAAATTCTAGATTCATACTTGCCCTATCGCGATGCGTGCGTGTTTATTCTATCCCCTGACGTGCATACGCTATATGCTGGCTGTCAACTGACCTTATTCTCTCTATAGTCTATCGAGAATACCGCACTAGAGTACTTAAATCAGTCATCACTGGTGACTATGAAAGTCAAGATCCCTGTTACTTATTTTCTAGATCTCAATGCTCACAGAGGCATTGCGATACAACAAGACTTCCGCCATTCGACGGACATAGCATCTATCATACGTTCAACAGAGCTGAGTGACTTATGGGCGCAATCTCAGGCTTTGCGCACCAGTCAAGAAGTTGGAAAATGGCTACGCCACTTCCATGAATGGGCCTCAGAACCTGAACAAGCAGACTTCCGAAGCAAGGTTGGCTGCAACGGACCTATGCAAAGACTCAAGCACAAGGTCACCTACGGCGCATTCATCGACGTCTTGAAGAACTTTCCCAATATCCTTGGAAAGAACATTAGGGTTTTGGAAGGGGTCAAAGAAAGAGCAGAACTCGAGCTTCATGATTTGATCAGTGGCAAGGATGGACCAGATCGAGGCATGATCCATGGAGATTGCTGGATGGGAAAGTGAGTTACAGAGACCCATGAAGCCGGCGTCTGAGCCAATCTGATTTCCAACTAGTGTTCTACTATCGAATTCTTCCCTGGCCCAAATTGGCTCCGATGCAGCTACAGACATCATCTTCATTGACTGGGAAATGTGCCAATTTAGCCATCGTGCATATGACTTGGGGCATATGATAGGTGATCTATATGAGGCGTATCATTTTCACGACTCTGATATCGCTTTAACGATGATCACAGGGTTCATTGACGGTTATGGGGGGGTTAACAACGAAATGGCTTTCCGAACGGCTATTCACACTGGTGTACAGCTTCTGGGTTGGTACAATCGTCGCGCCCCATCGGATGCCGTGAAAGGGACCGAAGAACAGATTTTGAATGCAGCAAACATCTCAACGAACCTTATTATTAAAGGCTGGGAGCAGGAAAGGCAGTGGTTTCAAAGTACTCCATTGGCGCTGTTGTTCCATTCGGGCACATAAACAGCCGCATCTTAGGCCGCCGTCATCCATAGAAACAGCCGCATCAGTTACATCGTATGCACAAACGACTAGAGAAATCGTGCGTCTCCGCATAGCGATGACATCTCATTTCAAGCTTCTATGGAGTAATCATTGGTTTACTTCGAGGTTTCCTCTCATAGCTGATCATTTCGCTCTGTAAATGTTGTAAGACGGCGCAGTCCAGCTCGCGCAATGAACCCAACACGGTTTAGCGCTGCATTTCAGTGGCACTGCTCCGTGACAGCCTCCACCTCGATCAATGGTCCCCATTGGGGATAACCTCATGTAAGAAGCCCAACATGCGACAAAGGATTATGTATAAGACAAGTGCTGTGCCCAGATGAGCTTCATCAGACAAATAATACAAGACTTCAATTCAGAGACATTAAATTGTTTTCCGCCTTCGATCTTCAGCTCTCAGTCAGAATGTATCCCCATCAGCTTGCCTATCAACAACAGGACGTACCAGTGGAATTACCAGCTGAAACAATTCCTCATCACGATTACATATACCAGCCGAGCGATCATATCTACCTTCCGCAAACTTTACCCCCTTCGCTTCCCATGGAAAGACCAACACTATCTCCATCACGCCCCATTCTCATCCCTTCAACCTCAATCACAGGCTCCCTGGAAGTAACTCCACCATACCACCGTGCTTACCCTCCCATTCTCAGCTCTTATGGGATCTCTTCAAAAGAATTCATGGCCATCATCGATGCCCTGAACATCGCGCTTGCTGAGCCAGCTCCATTCAAAGCAATGGAAGTCGCAGGCGATGGTCTCGGCTTTGTCCCCAATGAAATCGCCCAAGGCGTTTCTTTGGGTCTCGGATTAGCTGCGGGTACTGGAACTGCTGCTACGGCATATTTTCGGGAGAGAAAGGTGCTCGAGAGAGTAAATCGTGACATCTTCGCACCAAAGGGCTTGGTTATGAAGACCGTCAAGGATGAGGAAGTGATGCAACGACTCAACACCACGGCCAAGAGTCTCGACCCACTACACCGGCTACAAGAAATCTCATCACATGTTGAAGTTTTGTCTTTTGACGTTGAACCACCGATCAGACACTCCAATATGCTGGATCGCATCAGCGCAAAACAAGCCGCCATCAGACAAGCCGGCAAAGAGAAGAAGAAACACAAGAAGCAAGAAAAACGTCTTCAGAAGCGTGAGAAGGCAGCTGATAAGTTTGGTCGCTCTGTTGATTCTATCGATGAGCAGTATAACTCCGACGTTGAAAGCCGGATTGAGATCGAGGCCAAGATCGCGAGGTTAGAGGATAGGATCGCGGAGATCAACATCAAAGCAGAGGAGAAGCTTATGGAGTCGAGTGAGAAGAAAGTTGGCGAGATTGAAAAGAGACGAAGAAAGGGCTTGGAAGAAGTTGAGAAGGATCGTGTCAGGTTGATGGAGAAGCATGGCAGGGCGATCACCAAGGTGAATAAGAAGGCTGAGAAGAAGGATGAGAAAGACGAGAAGAAGGTGGCTAGACTGGAGTGGATCATGATTCGAACTATTTAGATTATTCTCTTTGTATCTCCATGTAGAATTACATACTATTTGATCAGAATTATGCTGGACGTCTTCCACTCTCGTCGTCTCCCAATCTCAAATCCATAAGTCCCAGCAATGACCCCGTTCATGATCTCTTCAGCCCCCTTCTCCTCTGCACTGCCATTTTCGAAGTTCATACTCGCTATTTGCAGCGGGAATATGAACAATAATGACTCGGTGCTGTGTGACTCGTGTCCAAGACACGATGCTGCTAGCTGACATATCTCAGTGGCGATTGCCTTCCTGATGAGTTTGCGATCCTCGAGAATAGATGGTATCTCGGCCACTAGAGGTATGTTGAAGAAGGTGCAGAGGCCTGTCATGCACAGTATTATTGCTCTTTGTAATGCAAGAAGGGCTTTGTGTCTGACCGGCTGCGAAGTGCTGTCTGGTGTTGAAGTGAGAGGGGAGCCCGTGAGAGGCCGAGGGTGCTGATAGAACTGCTCCCAGTCTTCTAGATCGGACAATGTAGTCTCGACTCTCTGTCGAAGCTCTTCAAAGAACTCGTTGTCAACTTCACCTCTTTCTACCCGATCCATGTCATGCAACTGGCCGGGAACGCGGGCAAAGATATCGTGCAATGCATCACTAGTTGTCTTGGGTGCAGTCGACGGCCAAGGGACGGTCTGCCACTCTGGAAGTGTGAGATAGCAATGCTTTCTGTTTATCAGTGCGCACAATATCTATTTCAGTCAGCAATGTTACATCTTGGAAGAAGCGTCTCATACTATCTCGAAACGGCACTGTCTGAGGAGTTCCCTTTCCAGGACTGTTTGGTGTCTCCATGGTCCTCTCAGCTGGACCTTCAATCAACGGTTTCAGTATAGCCTCGGTATCATAGTGCATCACAGAACTTACCAACTGGGTTATTCCCTCATAGTGCTTCAACCATCCCGTCTTGTCTGTAAAGACGATGTTCTCAAACATGCACAAACAGATTACACTCGCAAGTGTGTCCCATTCTAGAACAGTAGTCGAACTTGCCAGGTCGTGTTGCACTCTGTTCAAGGCTTTCACGTATTCTCTGCTTCCGAGGTCAAAGATTCGCTTGTCGCCGTTAGTTTTGCCAAAGTACACTGCTGCTAATGCTCGCACTGCAAGACTTCGCGTAGAATCTGACAATGTGATAGATTCGAGATTGGCCATCAAGGGCGTAACTTCATCGATCCGCGATAATAGGTGAGCATGAATTACGGCGTCTTGATCCAGTAACAGTGGCGGCGGATAACAGGCCTGCCTTTCAGTGGTCTTAGGAGACGGGCTGGCCAGTCGAACCTGGAGCTGGTTGTCCTTCACAGGCGACTTATCTTTCGCAAAGCGCGTCGTCTCATCAACAAACTCGCCGTATGTTACATAGCCTTCACAAGCTATCCAAGCTTTCTCACATCGCTGACAGTGCGGTTTGCTTTGATCTACATTTCGCGTTAGTCAGCGCGTCTCTGACAGCGACAACCGTAGGGACGATACCGCATTTTACGCGTCTTCGCTTGCACGTCCTACACGCTTTACTGCGACCTCCGCGATTGACCATGGCGATGAGTTCGGGCTTGCTCAGGCTGTTTGTCCATCGACGCGCTCAGGATGAAATGAGGGGACATGTCAGATGGGATTTGCCAAGATTGCGCCACAGAAGAGTCGTCATCATCCTTGGATTGAGGATGGCGCAGTGATAGCCAGCTCATGACCAGATATCTTGGTAGCTTGGCCTTCCGCAGTTAGGAGAGCTAGAAAAACATTATCTTGGTTTACGCCCGTAGGCACTGGCAGATTCGCATGAAATAAGGCGCGTCATGGGGGACTGAGACGCGTCTCAATTGGCTTCACTTCCTGCAGCGCAACACAATTGAGGCCCCAGACACTGAAGACTGTCGCCTAAGGCCAGAGCATAAATCCGATTTATTGTTCAATATAATCCTGTAGTAATAGTGTTGAGTGGCTACCCTGCCTTACGTTGTCTGAAGTATAATGGTTTAACATTTAAAGTCAGCAGTGGATGTTCAACTGAGTGCGGGCTTATTAGGACCACCGAGATATGCAGCCATGTTGCGCAAAGAATCCTTATAAAATTTGCAACATGAAAGCGTATAACCCTTTTGCAAAGCTGATATATGCTGCAGCAATATCTCCCATTAAGCCTTGGATTGAAGTTACGTCCAGATCTAAGATCTTGATCTTGTCCATCTCATGCTCAGCCCTACCCTGGGGCCCCCAAATCACGAACCAAGCAAGCTACGCCAACTAACGGTGGCTCCCGACGCTGATACCGCTCCCCTCCCTCTCCTTTCCGCCCCGCCGCCCTGTTTTATCCCCTGTAGTTCATTACGGTCCCACCAATGACCACCAGCTGCCAAGTTTTTAGACACGTCCTTGCAATCCAACACCGCGAGAGCATCCATTTCATCATCCCCTGCCAAGCCATCACTGGAAATTAAGCAATGAATTGCACTGCGGGGCTTACAACCTCCATCGTTTCACTCAACACCAGGATCATGATCAGATCAGTCAATGTCAATTCAATTCGGTTCAACCAATTCTCTAGATGCCCTTCCTTGTTCTACCGCAACTCCAAGTAATCCTGAATTATCCACAGGTGATGTGACGTGTATGCTGTGCTGTAATACAAACTGCAAAAATTAACGATGCCACTCTATCCGTATTACCAATTACATTGTTTCTTTCTGTTCGTGTTCTCGTCATTGCGCGTGCTTTTTGATGCTGTTCCGATATCCCGGTGTCGCCCCTTGGCAGAAATAGTGGTCCAGCACCAACTCCTCTGCCTTGATGTCCAACCATCCAGGCGACGAGTCGCCAATGCCAAAGCTCAGCCAGATCTCGTCGTCCAAGTATCCGTGGCTTCTCTGCGTCGGTTGATCGCCGTTGTACACCATGCTTCCTGTCCAGATATACCTGCTGTTGGTCTCGCCGTGGTAGGTGAGCTTCTTGCTAACGCTCATCATGCGGTATGGCGCGACGGGCGAATAGACGACTATTCGGTGGTCGTACCATGTGTTTGTATATTGAGGAGGATCATAGCGCATCTGAACCATGCCCATGAGGACCGTGTTGTTCTCCATCGGCTCGCAAGCACCACGATTGCAAAGCGTGAGACTGAGCATGGGCGTCGATTGATGCACGCGCTTGTCGGTGAGCATGACGTCGTTCATGCACGTCTTTGCAGCAGAGTGCCATGTCTTCTTCTCGTTGTCGGGAGGGAAAGGTTCCTCTACGGCCGATTCGAGCTCAGCTTCCATGTCCTGGACAGGCTCGTCGGTCGAGTTGAAGCGGAACAGCTGGCTGGGCTCTACCATGAACATCATCTCGTCATCGTCAGCGCTGAAGGGAGAGTAGACAGGAGCCCAATTCTTCTCGCGTTGGTATCGGGCGGCGGATTCTTCTCCCTCGGGGGGCTGACGGCGAAGGAGGACGGGTTTGTCGAATTCGATGCCAGGGAGTTCTTTCGCGTGCTTGCCCATCTGCTTGACGAGCTCGGGCACGGCGGCACGTGCATCGATAATGTACATGCCCTCGCAGAGGTTCTCGTCATTGACCTGGTGGGTGAAGATGAGCATGGGAGTGCCATTCTTCCTCCAGAAGAGCTTCATGTCCTCAGGACCGATGTATTTATCCATGTCGGGCTGGGCCTTGCAGTGATGCTCTGGGCCTTGAGCTTCTGTAAAGTCCTCCACAAGCATCTTATGCCAATCGTTGTCCGCAGTGAGCTCCGGCCGGCCGAATGCATCCCAGGTGAGGCTAACGAAGGTGGCGACTTGCTGAGCTCGTCTGTATTTCTTGCCCTTGATATCTTGGTCGACGTGGGGAGCGCGCGCAATGACGAGGAAGTCGTGCTTGCTGCCTTTTGGCAATTCAAGAAGGGTAGGATTCATAATCTTCTGGCCCGTCTTCTTGACATTTATAGAGTTGTAGAAACCCAAGTTATTCCGTGAACTCGTGAGGAGGCGGTAATCGTTGGTTCGGGAGAGGAGAGGATCGTAGCCCGAGTGGCCATTGCCGAATAGCTTGTCGCTCATGGTGAAGGTGAGAATCATGGCGACGAGGAGGGCTGTTGTCGTCACGTAGAGAATGATGCGCCGCGGGTGAGGATGAGGAATGCGAACGCTCGAGAGGCGCACGCTCAGGTTGCGCAAGCCGTTAGGCAAGCGCATGTTGGAAACGCGCATCGTGAAATGAAGGAGCCGCGTCGGCTGGCGAAGAGAAATGGAGCGAAAGACAGAGGAGGCTCAAGCCTCACATCGGGGAACAGAAGAAGACGTGTCTCGATTCGTGCAGCCGCAATCGGGCTCGGCTCGTTTTGAGGTAGCGGTGGTGCTAGAAGTGCAAGCAGAGAGGGAGAGAAAAAGACAGCGCCACGAAGGAAATAAAAGACGGTAAAAGAGCGGATGGAAAAGAAAAGATGGAGACAAGTTGAGGCGAAGTGATGACCAGTGTTTGGCACGATGGAATGGAATGATTGGACTTTTTTGCAGGCGAGCAACCCCCCTAAAACAAGCATAAGAAGGGAACCCACGATTTCAACAGACTTTTTTTCTTCTGGTTAAAGGGGAGGGGGTGGATAGTGCAGTAGTCTACAGGCCTAGCAGGGGTGATGGCCACTAAATCTAGAGTTATTTTTCAATGGAAGCTTCGATTCCCTGACATCCTGTTGGTCAATGCGTCATGGACTGCGCCACAATTGGTTGATTACCTCCAGAGCTCTCCACTGCCGCTGGTACCGCACCCAGTGAAAGAACAGGTTCAGGACATGAGCTTGTTGATCAGTGAGTTCTTTTTAAAACCTGTTTGCGCGTTGCGTCTCAGACATCGGCGATTAAAACACGTGGGGGTCTCTCATCTCTTAAGATCAGACACAATGTTCGTGATATTCAGACACAGAATCTGTCAATTGAACGCAAAGTCGTGGCACAGAGCGTTCTAGATTTGAGATGCGGAGAAGGCCTGTAATACAGTGCATGAACAACAAATGCTCACGCGGATGGTTGCCAGATTGATACTGTATCATATCATCCTTCGCACAGTTACAGCGCCAAGTCTGCTCACGCACCACCAGATGAATCTGTGGAGATTGTCAACATGGAATTGTAGATTTGCCAAGGTGATCATCCACCTTTTTTCGTCTCTTCTAACATGTAAATCAGCCCTATGGCGAACTCTATTTCTCGTGCGTTCTCGCCGAGCTCAGGCTTCTACATACTGTATCGATTGTCATAGATATGATGAGGCGGTGATGCATACGTCAACACAGCGACATGCTATCAGGCCTGGACTCTTCGTTAAGGCCTTGGCGGCACCAGAAGGATGACTGCCTAAGCGACGACCAAGCATGGTCAGTTCTTTGCGCCTCTTTATGTTGCTTCACCCACCCACTGAACCGTCACAATGATGTATGCGCTGAAGCGAGACGCGTCACCCTCTGGCTGAGATCCTTCTGCAGCTTTCAATTCGGGACGTACCTCAATTGTATCCTCGTTCTTGAGCCTTTCATCAGGCCACTACGTGGTGATGCTCAGATACACTGATGCGACATAAATTGTTTACATCGTTCTCTGGTGTTGTGTTTTATAAGGGCGCCTAGCTGCAAAACTCGAGTTGTTGAGATATCTTCACGTCAAGGGTCCACGGATTATATACGACCTCTCGATGAAAGATTTCGCTGCAGTCATGATTCTTCTATACATAGGTTGCAGTCTCATGTTGAGAGTCTCCTTGGTCCGAAATATCCGATTCAGTCATTAGTCCAAGCCTGCAACACTATCGTAGGTTCCATGATGTCCCAGCGAAGATAAGGTGTCAGCCGCCTGTATAAACTAATTCAGATCGGTCTTCACCGAATCCTGCCAGCAAGGACTTGGTGCTGCAATTCTTGGTGGCCACATCGTGGGCAACGGAAACGTAACTGATGCGACTCAATTTGGAAGCAACACAACTCTGGAGGGCGACTTCAGCTGTTGTTGTGATGTACCTGATCTGTAACATCCACTAGATCCCGGCTGACCTGTATCATGCTCCGTGCCACAAACATCCATAGACTATCATGAGGACTGCGATACTGCAAAAGACCCCAGTCGGAGGACTGAGTTATTTGCTGCAAGTTGAGTACCTTTGATAGAGGTCCAAGCGATTCCTGATACAAGCTCTGCTGTTAGAATTAGTCGTGGTAAACGGGAAAGCTGGCTCAACAACAATGCTGTACCGACAAGGTATGCTCTTGATAGTTTCGTTCTGTGATGAGTTACTGGGAAGTTGTCCACAAACATGTTTCACTGCTGCGGTTTACTTGGACTTGATGAATGGATTTAAAAAATGAGGAGACAGCCAACTGAGGATGAAGTTCTTGACCTTAAGTCGGAAAGCAGAGAGACATTGAAGCTACGAGGAGCAAGAATGTAGAACGGTAAGTCACTATTTCAACTCGAAGGCAGTACGAAGGGGGAGCTAGTCAGTAGCCGAAGCCCATGATGAGTCAGTGGAATATGAAACCACTGAAGGACGAACTGAAGACTGTTTAAACGCGGG